TCATAAGAGCTGACATCCCAAAGCTTTCACAAACATGGTGATCGTGTCCTCGGTATTTCTCAAGGCACAGAGCGACCACCACAAGGTTACTTTTATTCAAACCGTTGCTTACACATCCACACACACACACATTTATACAGACATCTATATTCGCAATTTCACATGTGCATTAATATGCACAGATACATTATCACACACCCACGCGCACAGTTACACACATTCACATGCATGTTTTCACACACGTGGATTCACACACGGGCACGCATATCTTTTGGAAGTCATATTTACACATTCACACTCTCACATACAAAGACAAAGATGCCCTGTATGTGACGATGATGTTACCACGACAATTGTACCAGGCTAGGTCCACTCTGAGGCCACATACACAGTGCCATTCTCATTTCCATTCACATACGTTCAAACATACGCATTTGTATGCGCTCAGGAACACACGCACAAACACACAGACTTCAGAACTATTTTAAGCAATCATATCTATAAACGTTGAATGTTGCTATGAACTGAAACTTTAACTTCAGAGTAAGTGAACGCGCGTGCACGCGTATAGAGAAACACAAACATTCACACGTGCACACGCCTTTTCAATGTCTCTGCCGCTCCGTATTAAACAGTTATTATGTCGCAATCTAAAGAAGGTTACTTAAATTAGCCGGCAGAGAGAAAGGCCCGTTTAATGCGACTAGAATAGGTTAAAACGGGTGCAGAGCAACACAAACCAAAACAATTACAGCCTCATTTGCATGAAATCGTTTCTCCCCCTCACGGAGCCCTCCCCAGGATCACCAATCAATGCAGGGAGCGTACGGCACGAGGATTTCCACGCTCAACAATCGCCTCACTTTTCACAAACACAGGCCGGCCGCACGGACCGTTATTAACTGGCACCGGTGGAGAAAGGCCCTTATTGATCAGCAATAATTAAAACGGCGTTGCTGCCAGGGCCTCTGTCTCTGAAGCCCTCAGAGGAGCACAAAGGGCCTGGGGGGTCCCCCCCCCGCTCGCTTCAAGCGGGGGGAGGGGGGGGACCCCGAGCGGGGTCCTCGGGGTCCCCTACTTCCCCCCCGCTCGCTTCGAGCAGGGGGGGGGGGGGGGGCGGTGGTCCCGGGCAAACAAACGGCTCGGCCACGGCGTCGGCGGCCGGCAATTCAAGCGCCTTAATTGGTTTTCTCTCCTCGGCAGCATTCACGCTCGTGTGGTCATCTCGCCGAGGTGCCGCGGGTCACGCCGGAGCGGCGAAGCCCCGGCTTATTAACGTGCGGCGGCAACGGCAGCGCGGGGCCCTCGCGCGGCTCCAGCCCCGCACCGCTCGCCAATAAACAAATAAAAGGCGCTCTTCTCCGGTAACACAAAAGTGTCTCTCTTTAAATTAATGCAGACCAAAAGACACGCGGGGATTATCCACCGGCCACCTTTCTCTCCACACAAATTAAGTAGAAACACGGGCATTGTGCAGCTTTCTCCATTTCATGTGGCCCAGCTGCCCGGAGGATGTCAAGAGCCCTCTTTCCACTCTTGTTCCTGTAACCCTTGACCCTTGTTTCAGCTGCCAGGCGGTGCGTTTCAGTGGGGATTTGGGCGGTGGGTCACCGCGGGTTCTGGGAAAGCGGCGCCGAGCCAAGCGACCATCTTGCGATGTGGGCACTCCACCAGGGCCCGTGGCGTACGCGGTGCCGGTGAGCCGCATGTGGTGTGGCGCGACGCGGGGCCCTGCTACTACCAAAGGGCCTTAGCCTCATCTGCAACCAACCTCACACTTCAGATGCAACATCCTCAAAAGTATCTTTTGTCCAGAGCTTCCCACCTCCGCTAATGAAAGAACCAAAGTAAATGATGCTCTTTGAGATGAAAATCGGTGTGCTTCGCCGCCAACGCATTTCAGAAGCTCTGTTGCGTTAGAAACTCGTGTGCAGCGGCAAAAACGGATACGTTTAAGCGTTTCTCATTTTTGAATTAAAGCAACAAAACCAAAGGCGACGAGTAATTGAAATGAGATTTCCAATTTAAACCGGCAAAAGAAACCTGCCAAACGCTGACCAAACAGCCCATTATCTGCGGAGCCTTTGTCTCTATTGCTCTGCACGAGTCACGACGGCAGATGTCCCCACGGGCCGAGTGCTGAGGAGGTCTGCACGGGAACATTTACTCATCCCAGAAGCGGCCCCAAGAAGCACGAGGCTAAAACAGACTTAAAAGGCTGCCAAACCCACTCCTCGCAAAACAAAACCAAAATCACCATCGTATCAAAATAGAATTATATTGGGAAACGTAACCACATTACCATGAAAAATAAACACATGTCAGGCCTGAGACTAGCCTGCGATGTATTTATGTGACGTGTAGCGAATGTTCCACTAACACGTTTCCAATGTTTAGCTAACATGTCCCCAGAGTTGCTTTATTTTTACGGCCAAGAAAAATGACTCCCCTTATCTCTTAAAGCACTTTTCCCTCAAAACGAAACATTCATAACTTTAGACGGACATCAAACCTCGTGTGTGCGTGCGCGTCACGTCAGCCTTAATAGGTGCTCCGTACGAAATGTTACGTCAGAGGTTTTACGTCTACGAATGGGGAGGCGTTTCTCTTTCTCGTACTCTGCTGACACATGGCAGTGGTGCCCAGAAGTCAGTGACCAAGCGGAAGACCGTGGCCAGATGGTGGGATACTGTAAGGGGCAGACCTTGGAGGTCATGTGTCCACTCAGCAACAGCTGTCGCATCGAGCAGAAGGAAGGAAGCGATGGCGAGACATGGCGGCATACATTGCATCGGGGAGGATGACCTCTTGACCTCAACCTTGACCTAATATATAAACCAACTGCTATTTTCTCTCCACTTTCAACCCCTTGTTGGTGCCTTAACAAATTGAATTACTCCTCCTGTGCCATCGTCCAGTTTCTCATCTCTTCTCCACCCAGACGGCCCAAACAGGGCAGCTGAACGCCTCCTCTTGCCGGCAGAGTCTTATCTTCTGTAGCCATGACTTCAACCATTCTCTTTATGCCGCTGAGCTCACACGCTGATATCTATCCCTTTAAACCGTCTCGCACAGCCGGTGTACGCCAACAACATTTTTTATTTAAATGTTGCATCACTTTGTGCAGCTACTGTATACCATCCTTGGCATAAGTATTCCCCCCACAGATCGCATACTCCAAGCCTCCACTGAAATTTGGTATGAAAAACATCTAAACTGCACGTGTGTATTACAATTACTTCCCACAAACGTCTCTGACAATCCTACTACTTTGTATCAAAAACTCTGAGCATAGCGCTTTGTCAATGCACTGCTGGATGAACCCTTTCCTATGCTGTGTTGGTCAGCATGATGACTTTTTGACCATACTTCACCATGCTGATCACTGCAGAATGGTGATGGGGCTGGTGGCTTCTCTCAGGGTCAGTTCAGATATCACTCACTAATGTTGTTAGCCCTGGCTGGGAATCTAATTCAGTTGGCTGGGTTCACTGCGCAGTGTGCAAATCAATGTGACACTACTCCACCTACTAAACTATAAATCTGTTACATTTTACACCATGCTGCTACAAGTCAACGATTCTTGAATGCAAGTCTATACTACAAATGACCATATCCTAACTTTATATAATACAAGTCCATACTATTAGAATCTCAACTCCATTTCAATCGTTTAGCCTCGCCTGAAAAGTAATCTCTCTCCACTCATTACCCACCAGCAAATTCCCACCAAGCACGGCGATAACATCTCAACGCTGCTGACATTAAGAGACAGCGGCTCAACACAGACGGGTGGCTTCACCCTCAGCTCCGCAGCTTCAATTGAAGAGTCTACATTCCCTTTGAATGGGACGCACAACAAAGTGTGAGGCAAGCCGTGGTCTATTGTGTGACGATCCACTTTGCGTTGTGCTGCCAAATTTAAGCCAAATTGCAAATTGTCCGTTGGGCAGTGCGAGGACCCATGAAGCATGGCCTCGATATTGAATGGGGCCTGTGAATCACCAAGACCTCTCCTCACTCGTGCCCACAGGGTCAGCCGGAGGGGCCCTTCATTCATTCCTGCCACGAATCACGAGGGGGCCCCCTTCCGATCCAACCAGGCCAACCCATCGCTCCCCTCAGACTGCCTTACAGGCCCCCATTACCTCATCCAATCAATGGGCTCCTCTCTCGGCCTCCCTTCTGTGCACCACTTGTGCCATCACCTCCCGCGATCCGCTCCACATTTTCACGTCTTCTTTCCAAATGTCACTTGGACCCACTTCTCTCTACAAACCAGGTAGATCGCATTCTCTGTCTTCCACAAATCACTTTTATTCCTCTGCCTGCCTCCATCGTTTTCACGATGTATGTTTATAAGTTATTGCCATATCGAACAACTGTAAGACTTCGTTTTTAAAGTTGGTAAAGCAACATTGCTATTGCTAACCTGACACCTCTCCATTGGCTCTAAAATGGGAATCTTTACTCCAGTGAGTATAGAATGTAGCCGTGATCAATCACATTCAAGGTTCACACAGACGTCAGCATTCATTATGTTTCTTTAGCAGAGCCAGCGCCCTTGTAGATTCAGGCTTTAGCATCTCGGAGAAACGGTGATTCAAAAGAAAGCCCGGTGTGCGATGTGGAAACACTGAGTGAACCTCGACCACATCGTGGTGAATCACTCTGCCCTCAGTGCGAGTCTGTCGGTCTCTATGCAAGTCAAAAACTCAACAGGGGCAATGAAGCAATACACTCGCTTAACTGAAGCCACTTTCAGGTGAACTAACCTGGATGTAGAATTCTATGACCGCTATTTACCACACACACGAGAGAGAGCCGTGGCATCACAGCAGAACGCTGAACTTCTTTCATACCATACGTAGCCAACCGTGCTCATCGGAGATGCAGGGGAAGGACAAAAAACTAAACACAGAAAAGAGAACGGCACGGCCAGCTCGAGGCTGGGAATGCTTTAAGGGAGGGGGGCCTCTGGCCGTGCGCGGGAGCCTCACCCTCAGCCTTCATGTAGTGCACGGAGTAGGCGATGACGCGGTGCGCGTTGTGCAGCGGCCGCTCCCACGTGAGCAGGATGGCCGTGCTGGACACGGTGTGGGCGGCGACGGCGCGGGGGGCCCCGGGCCGCTCCTCCGACACGACGACGCCCAGCCAGGCCGCCGCCGTGCCGCTGCCCAGCGCGTTCTCCGCCACGCACTGGTAGTAGGCCTCGTCCTCCGCTATCAGCTGCGTGATCACCAGCCTGCGGGGCATGGGGGGAGCGGCGTCAGGCGGCGGCGCTTGCCGCGGCGGCGCGTCCATCGGGGGCGTGCAGGCGCCCATGCCAACCACAATATGCCACCGATTCATAGTGCAGGCACGGTATGCTCTTCAAAAACTTGACGCTAAACGGCCCTTGCACACAGGCCTAGCATTCGGCGCTGGCCTGCGCGAGCCTCGTATACGGACCGGACGCTCAGAAGTATAACTGTGTTGTCACAGGGCTTTAGACTTTGTGAACACACAGCATTGCAAGCTTGCTGAAAAGAAGGTGAAACTCGCACGCGATTCAGTGCTAAAGTTGCATCAGCAAAGATATGGCACACCAAGGACATTTAGCATTTAAACAAAAAACAATCAAATCAAGCAATTATAATAAAATATAGTAATTCACACAAAGCACTCTGTACAAACAATTACAAAACACCGCAGGCATGGCAATAATGCACACCGACATTCAGCACAGGACACACACAGCAGAAGTGGCTCTGCCGAGACAGGTGGAGCCATCACGAGGGTGCTCCGTGCACCCTGCTCTCTCGGGCTGCCCGTGACATTGAGCGGCCGGGTCAAGCTTACACAAAGTGCAGGAGAGTGGTGCTCTGGGCACGGGAGGCCTCTCGGTCTTGAATCTCTATGGGTCCCGAGCAAGGAGCCGCGCCACTTATCTCAGTGACAATGCGGCGAGTGCACCGCTTGTTTTACCTGCCGCGGCAATCCGAAGACGGCCGGGCACGCTGGCCAGAGGTTGGCGGCGTGTCCGTCGAGCGGCACGAGTTAAGGATCCGCAGGCCCCCCACTCACGTCCCTGGGGGGCTCGCGAGCGCGGCCGGCGCCGCTACTTTGCCACCTTTATTTCCTTCGCAGATGTTGTAAACAAAGCGCCAGGTGCCCATTTAGGTAAAGTCGACCCTGGGGAGGCTCTCTCTAAGGGTGGAACAAAGGCCAATAGAATTTGTTGGAATTCAAGCGTCGCAGGATAGAATCCGACCGGGATCACGGGCAGCAGCGAACACTGCACGGGCCACTCAGCCACGTAACGCCGAAATCTTCCATTGAGCCTCGAGGGTGCCAAGCGCGGCCACTTTTCTTTGTCTGCCGTCCACTCGTGCCGCTACCAATTCCCCTCAATTCAGCTCAATGCGGTCTCCGGACCTTACCCCCTGCACACAGCTCTAAAGGGGCATTATCATGCGGTCTCCTCTCGCCTAATTGAACCCATAATCTGCGATACGAGTAGTCGTTAGCGTGCATAAAGCAAAGAAGAGCAGGTGTTGGGGTTTACGTGTGTGCACTGTGCGTGCTCAAATTCACTTGTACGTGCACGTGAGTGGCATGGCGATTAGTGCACGCTATGATACCAGTGGCCTGGTTTCAATTGCCAGCCTGGGATCAATTCCTAGGCAGGCACACCATGGAACCTGTCTTGGGCCTCCTTTAAGTAAACTCGGCACTAGGAAGACAAAGGAATCCCGGCATAGTCGTAGTGGTCCCACTCCACCATCACGTGCTTACTAACAGCAACTAACAGCACTTGGCTGAGCAGTCTGAGACTAACGGTGTGCGTGTGTGCTTGCCTGCGTGCGTGTGTGTGTGTGCGTGCGTGTGTCACCTGTTGTCCAGCACCTTAACCCGTCCGTTGGAGTGGATCGGCTCGCCGTTCTTGAGCCAGGCCACAGCGGGGGGCGGCACTCCCTCGGCGTGGCACATGAAGCGTGCCGTGCCGGCACGCGGCCGGCTCACGCTCTCGGGCTGCTCGACAAACCACGGCGCCGCTGCATGCGCAGGCGCACGGATGCACACACAATTACTCAACAATTGTGCACACATGCTCACGTATGCATGAGCATACACAAACAACAACAGCCCTCACAATAACTGGCAGAAACGTTACCAAAACACTTGTGAGCCCATGCATCCCATGGAAAACATTTTGAAATCGCATATGCACACGTGCAATGAATATAGAGTTTATGCCAGATGCTAGTCACTAACAGATACAAACGTATGATCGTGTATTTACACGCACACAAACACGCACTGACGTGTGTACGTAGTGACGCACGCACGCAACAAACATTCAGACCCCTTGGTGCCACGTGGCACGCACACATCTGTGTGTACGTACGTATGTTGAACGTCTTTCGCACCATACGTAGCCAAACGTGCTAATCACTCACAAGAAGACGCACGCGTCACGCACGCTCACACGGCTGCCCCTCGCTTATGCCTGGGTGCAGTTTACTCGTGTTCAAATGGTAATCATGTTCTATTTTGATTTCGCATCATTTGTGTTAAATTGCATTGGAAAAAATCCGTAGAATTTCGGTGGGGAAACCCAGGCAAGCAGCACAGCAACGGGGTCAACAACTGTCCCAGCTCTGTGGTCCTACATAGAGACCCAACAATTTAAGTGGCGTGCGTTGACGCAAACACAGCCGCTTCATCCTCACTCCCAACAAATCCGGTTGAGCAGCACTTCCTCCTCACGCACGCTACATTTGTGAACGCACGCGCAGTGGCGCGCGTACCCCGCCATAGTCAAATGACACTTTGTTGTCCCTGGGAGTAACATTAACTCGAAGAGACTGAATGTTAATGGTCTCCCTCAGAGGCTTCGGAGCCCCTAGGCACACAAACAGATCAATGCAGAAGGAGGCTGTGCAGAGGTCACGCTAAAGGTCAGCGTGGGAATTTTGGAGACATCAGGGTCACATCTCTGATGGCCTCCTCAACCGACCATTCAATACCCCATCTCTGACTGTGTGCGGCTTTGCCGCATGCGGTATCAAATTCTCCAGATCACGGAAAACATCAATCACGGCCAGATCGTCCGTCGCGCCTCATATTGACCAATAACACGTCTGACGTGCCGCTCATTACGTCGTTTCGTCTGCAAGCGCACGCACGTCAGGCGCTCGCGTGTGAATATGAAAGCGTGAATTATTAATTTGTTTATAATGGGAAAGACCGTTTTTTTTCAAATACGGTCCGTTTGTTTTTATGAGATTCATGGCACGAACAGCGATGTTGCGGCGTGCGGTTTGCATCCATGCGTGCAAATCGCGAAAGTGCGCCTCGCACGTGCACCCCCGATGAGATCCACGTCTTCTACGTCGTGAACACCCCTAGAATACCGGCTGTGCGTCGCCGTGCGCGTCGCCGTGCACGCGCGTGATGGCGAACGCGCCGTCGATCGATTTAGCGGAGCGATGCGGTGAGGGACCGGCGTCTGCTCCGCCGCGTCCATCTCCAGCGATGAGAACCTCAGAGCGAGTCAGCACCGAGGTCCTCAAATTACATTTGCATCCAATATAAACTGCCCGCTTAATTAAACGCCGCACCGTCGTGAATGAACAATGAGGAGCGCACTGTACTGCATGCTAAACAAGTTATAGCAAATCATATATACATTACGCGCGTTTAATGTATTTCCTTAAATTATACTTCTGATAAGAACAATAATAAACAATAAAATGACAAATCATTAATACCATTTTCTAAAATTACCCATACATAATTTCAGGAGCAATAGCAGCAGATTAAGAAACATAAACAGAGTAATGAAATAATAACTAGGAGGATCGGAAAAGAAAATAACATTGAATTTTCTTTCACATTACGATAATATGACTCTCACACAGCGACAGGGAGCGGAGGCACGAAGGAGGGATAACAAACAGGGGCAGCAAAGCCCTACAGCTGCTTCAAAGGGCACAGCCATTACTCATGACTCAGCTCTCTCACGTGGACTCACACACACACATTACTGGCATGATGCAACCCACTTCAATGTAAAATACCCAATTGGGATTTCACACAGCAGCAACAATCGTTGCCCCATACTGCCAGACTGATGGCTGCTTGTAGGCCAGCTGCTGAGTCACCTCGTGCCCACGGGGACAACTGCCACTGGGGGTGCCCCTCTCACATGTGATGTGAGATGTAAAACGCTGTGAGACGCGCCGGCGTATTGGAGGGCGCGGAATTAAGAACACCATCATCGTCGTTGTAAAACGTGGCGTCGTCCACGAGAGCCAGCAAGTCCGTTTCAGAGGCCCGTTGCCATAATTCGCAGCTCAGGTTTTGCCCTGGCTCAAGAACAATTGTCCTTGTTACGTAAACAATGTGGCCAAGTGATGTCTTCCCCAGCACAGGTCTGCAGACGAACTGGGTAAATAAAAGAACGCGCAACGACAATCCCAGCTCACGACAGATGACGTAGAAGTGACGACAAAGAGCTCCACAAAGGCCTCCACACAGCCCAAGCTGCTGAATCCAGCCCTCCTCCCATGGTTTTATCTGTGGTGCATCTTCCGGTGAGGGAGTGACGCACAGAGATTCTCTGTGGGACATCTTCAGGTGAAGGAAAGACGCATGGAGATTATCTGTGGGGCATCTTCAGGTGAGGGAGAGACATACGGAGATTCTCTGTCGGGCATCTTCAGGTAAGGGAGAGACACACGGAGATTCTCTGTGGGGCATCTTCAGGTGAGGGAGAGACACACAAAGATTCTCTGTGGGGCATCTTTACGTGAGGGAGAGACGCACGGAGATTCTCTGTGGGGCATCTTCAGGTGAGGGAGAGACACATAGCATCGGCTTCAACCCTTCGGCACGCCACGTTTTACCACGTCTCACCATGTCTCACCACGTCTCACCACGCCTCACTAGGAGTGAACCATTAAGCCAGGTGTCCAGAGTGCCCTCGATCAAAGCTAATTGTCGTGTGAAGTTTATCAATTCACCTCTTTTGATGTCGTTCACACGCCGCAACTAGCGTGACATTTTTCTTTTAATCGTGAGCCTATGTCCAATAATTTATATTGACAATTTCATGCTTTGTAGTTTTACTCAACATTGTTTGGCTTGTGATATGAGCCACTGGCCTAACCTGCTTCTTGTTAGGTCGCCTTTACTCACTGCCACGTTCACCACGGCTGTCATGACCACCTACATCTGGCGACTCTGTGGCCAACAGTCGCCCAGGCCAGCAAAGTGGCACAGAATCCAGAGCGAGGGCTCGGTGGGACTCGGCTCGGTGGGACAGCTCAATGGCCTTTTTCCCAACAGAGCATTGCTCTGCCTCCTCCACCATCGTCTCCAGCCGAGATTATCCATAATCCTCTCCCCGCCCCCCCCTCCCCATCTGAACCGCAATCTTTCAGGACGAGGGTCAGCGGGCATTTGGTCTTTGCTCTCTGTCGCCGCTCAGGATGCCGGCTGCCTCCATTAAGGAGGATAAAATACTTTTTGATCTCATGGGAGGTTCCTACCCCCCTAACTCCCTCCTCTCCCAGCTCGTTGTGTTTTGTTTGTATTTCCACTTCGCTTAGACGATCGTTGCACTTTCCACTCACCTGTGCGTAAAACGTGCCCCAACGCCCACTCGCAGGCATCACACGGGATGGCTTTGGCTACAACTCCACGGCATTTGAGGCAGAAAAAGGAGTGGCAGTGCACTATGCACGGGAGCCGTCAGCAGCAGCAGCTCTTCTGCCCGCTCTTGCTCACACACTCGGTAAAGACATCTCGACGTACAACGCATCCATTGGGACTGACAAACCAATACATGGCAGCTCAGCACTGGAGGGGGCTTCACCAACACAGATCTCAATTCGCCGCGGTCTGGAGACCAGACCAGCGTTGGAAAGACAGCTGCAAGAGATTGACGTCATCTCGAGCCGATTTCACCGCTGTGAGAGCCCGGTGCAAGGACAGTAGCTGGTGTCCTCATGACCATCACGGCCGAGTGCGGCGCCATTTGCAAACAGGGACAGAAGGCCCAACCGAGATGTCGTGGGTCTCAAATTATCGTTGTATTTCACTCAATTCCAGATCCAGTCACCGCATTCGTGAGTGCAAAGTCTACGGAAGCCCAGAATGTGGGCGCACTGTGAACCACCGCCAATTGAGTGCCTTTTATGGGGGAAGCAACAGCAGTGGCGGTTCACTCTGCCTCACCTGAAGTCGTCACGTGGCTCCCAAGCTTGGATGTAGATGTTTAAGTTGCTATGCACCGAGCCATACGCAAGAATAAGATTCTGAATCTCAACTCTAGATCATAACTTCCCGATATTTCCGCACACTGAGCTCTAGATTGAAAGGAACTCAGCCCAAACAAAACCCACAAACGGCTCTGATCAGATACAGCAGCACGTACCTAGGCTGCGCATGTCCATTGCTGTACAACGTGAGACTGAAGTTTAATTCGTGACAAAAACAAAAAATACTTTAAAGTCATGATCAGCACCTCGGCCGTAGCGCTCCAGTATGGGAGCGATCTCACGGCGATGTCACGCGAGTGTCATGACGTCGCGCAACACGCGTGTCGCACGGCCCAGCCAACACAGCTCGGGCACACGGCAGTACAAGGCAAGAGCGGTGCCGTTGCGTGTGGCTTGTGTCTTCCTTTAAACAGCAACAATAAGAAGCGTTTTGCTACAATGATGAACCAAAACAATCATTGCTCCCCATGCCGGGAGGTGGACCATCTTCTGCTATTAAGCTTGATCAGTGTCGGATTTTCCGAGTAGCAAAAGTAGCATATGCTCGGGCTCCGTTCTTTCAAGGGCCCCGTGCTAAATGCTTTCAAGCTATCAATTCCGTTTCAGCGATTCTGCACTTGCTCTATTACTATAGTACTACACTCCCTTCAACTTTTTATGAACGACTGGGTGTTTAAGGTTAGCGATTTGTCATATTATCTGGCTGTATAGCAAATGAAAAAATACAATAACTTTACTATGCAAGTAAAAAAAGTTGCGTTTTAATATTTATGTGTGTTTTTTTTTTTATGGCCCAAAACTAGCTACATCCGGCAGTGAGCTTGATGCGGCGTTATCGGTGAGCGTGGAAATCTTGTAACACTTAGACCGTGCTGTCAATCATGGCTCTTAGCTGCAAGTAACTGTATCTGCAGTTATTAGTGGACGGAAATTCATCATTGTGAAATAAAGAGCGGCATTAACGTTCCTCAGGGGACGAGCGCCATCGGTATAAACTGTAGTGGGGTCTCGGCTTCGGAGATTTTCGGCCACTTGAGACTCAGGCGTCTGCATTCAAAGTATGTGCACAGTGCCTGTTTTTCCAGTTGCCTGCAAAAAAATTGTTCCGGTGACATTTGAACACTGTAAAGAAACCACTTCCCTTCGCCAGTTAAGGGACTGGCGAGATAACAATGTCTTTTAGCGAGGCAGACGTGGTCCAGAAGGATTAACAGCAACAGCGGCAAAGGTTACGACCGTGAAAAAAACATTCTACGGCCAAATCCATCTCACTTACGTTTCAACGTTACAGCGGTGATTTCAACCGCTTCTTTGTTTGGGGGATTTTTGCGAACATTCTACTGACGGCCCCCAAAGAAAGCATCGGCGTGAAACATCGTCAAGTAAGCGTGCCGTCCGCCAAGGTGTGCGGACACAAGAGGTCCCACGACGTTCTTCGTTAAGAGGAGGCCATTGTGCCAGGGTCAAACGTTGAGAGGAGCCGGTTGATATCCACTGAGTTATGGGAGGGTCCCATACTCCTGTGCACTCACTGGGGCCAAAGGGCTCAGTGTTCATCTGGGGTTTTCTTCAGACTGATGCGTTAATGATGACCTCGTGCCAAATATAGCTTCAAAAACTATATTTGGCACGGATTTCTTCTTAAAGTTTCATAGCAACGATGCTTGTGTGTGGATTACACGTGGAGTATTGCAGCGTAGAGATCGTGAGAGATGGCGGCGGCTTGGCTGGACCCTCATCCAGCAGCGGATTGTACGTTGGCTGATAATGATGATTTAAACAGTGCGAGCAGTACAATTATTGGGCAGTACAGATAGACATATAGACTACGGTCGAGTGCTCGTGTTTGTGAACTGCCCGAGCACTTAGAGGCACCGTCTCAAGCCAGCGTTAGCAGGACAGCCCCTATGGTGCCGCAATCACCCAGGAACGGACACCGCCATCTGTAAAGCAACAAGCCAGGGCTCCCACGCCGGGAGGTTCGACACTGGCGACACGTAACGGGCTCAGGGGGGCGGTGAAGCCAAGGCCTGGCGCGGAGGAGAAGAGACTCACCGAGCACGGTGAGCTGCCCCGTGGCCGTGGTGAAGTTGCGGGTGCCCGGCACGGAGGCGCGGCACACGTACACGCCGGCGTGGTGCGGCTGCACGTCGGCCAGGAGGAGATTGCCGGAGCCCAGCACCTGCGAGTGGTACACGTCCAGGGGCTGCTGGTCTGCGGTGCCCCCGTGGATGGACGCACATGCGCACACACACAGACACGCACGCACAGACGCACACATACAGGCACACACAGAGACAAGCACATGAATGCACAGATGCACACAAGCACGTGATAAAGGTCCCCAGTAGCCTACATACAAGTGCTGTAAGTGAGCACCTATTAGGGTCAATATGGCACACAATTGGGTGGTGTAGCTAGCACCATGCCCGCCTGCCTTTGTTTCCCCAGTGGTGATATTAGGTAACTTTTAAGGCTGAGTCGACCTAGGGGATGCCACTTCAGATATTCATCACTGATATTAGCCATGCCAGGTTCACAGAGCAGTGCACTTTGTATTACATCACCGCTCCCCACACATACACATATGCATATATATGTATATACATACATGACAATACACACATACACCTTCAGAAGGATATTAACACTTACCTCCATCTGATTAGAGACAAAGTCATAGGCAACCATGAACTACTCAATATCTGAAAATCAGGTCTATTTGGAACAATTCCTTTATTGCCTCCACACTAACTCACTGTCTACAAGTTGATGCAGCGATAACTGAGCTCACTCCGTTCCTGTCACCACCAATGCCTGGGAGGAGGGAGCGCGCCCATCGCTCTGGCTCTCTTGAGATAGGAGCAGAGGCACTGCGCGTTCCAGCACCCTGATGATGATGCTCAGTGGGAACTTGTGACCCAAAGTTTGAGGCAAAAAACAAAGTCCACCTTGGGCTCCCCGGTGTAGGTGACTCATTAAGTGGCTTCATCAGCAACTTGTCCATCAGGTGATCTCATGCAGTCTGTGCAGCTTCCCAGTGGAGCCGGTTGTGGTGAGAGCCCAGGACTGGGTGCAGTGACACACTTCCCTGGCCTTCCGCTTATCAGCGGAGCCACCAGCTCAAGTCACCTGAAACTCACCTTGCCCAGAATTTGCACTCCATTCGTGTTTTTTGTATTACTTGTTGTATCGTTCTGACCCGCCCCGACTGGACGTCTGTGATAAAAGAGCTTTACAGCTTATCGAACTCCTCCAGTATAAATAAAATATTTTGATTCTGACTCTGAACTGGGAAGAGAGAGGTGGGGATCCCACAAGTGCTGTTAGTGAGTGATAGGTCTTCACATTTCCTTCAGTGGCCAGGGGTAATGAAGGCAAGCGAGAGAGGGTGGGAGGGCAACACTCATCTCAACTGGTGCCTCTGAGGCGGCGATAATTCCACATTCTCATGGTTCTCTATCGGTGCACGGAGAACAAAACGGTGGAAAACCATTCTCCGAGCAGCAATATTATTAAACGTTGCAAGGTGACACGGGTTTGATATTAATTTCAAAGATGTGTCCGCTTGTATAATACGCTCGCGGCCAGAGGTGACGCAGTGCAGTGGCGCGATAGGTGTTGGGCAGAGCGCCCGTCTCAAATGAAGAAGCGTTCTCGCTCTATTTATAAACACGGCCACGGTGTTATGCCGGGGCACAGGCTCGGGCCTGGCCGAGTGACGCACGCCTCTATTTCTGCGAGCGTTAATCGCGCGCCGGGCGCTCGCCCTCAAAGTGACACACGTGTTCCCGTGCAAAAATAAAGTGGGTGGTGGTGATGTCAAGCGGGGGGGCCCAGGGGTGGGGGCTCTTACCGAGGCGACTCCAGGAGACGATGGGGCGGGGGCGTCCCTGAGCGACGCACTCCAGCACCGCCGTGCCGCCCGCCTCCACCGTCACGTTGCGCGGCCGCTGCGTGATGTTCGGCTTCTCGTATCCCTCAAGCGGCAGAGCTGCGCACGCGGCCGAGGGCACCACAAGCGGGGAGTTAACGGGCGCCGCGAGCCGGCGTCGACGACGATTCGCAGCGCCTCTGCGGTGCCGGTCTCCACCGGCGGCGCCGAGGCAGCGGTGGAAATTTCACATTCCTTTGCGCGTGACAAATCGGTACCCGATTTATTGACCCAAAATAAATGAAGGAACTGATTCGACCGCTGACTGGGATTTTGAATTTGTGACCTTCTGATTGCGCGTTGAAGAGGCCAACGCCAGATTCAGAAACAGAAATTGAGATGCTGAGTTTTCAGTGCAGCGCAATAACGACCACCACACCGCTTTGCATACACAGACACACGTACACACACACAATTCCCTTTGAGACAATTACAACAGCCCTTCTCAATCATATGTTCTGTTTCCTGTCATTATCTTATCTAACAAGGTTCTAGTGAAGCACATCTCACGTGAGCGTTGTGGTCAAATCACCACTCCGAATCTTTGTGGGGTTTTTTTAATAAACAACGACAAACTCAAGGCATATTAAGACATTGTTTAAACCCCTGGAGGGTTTCTTTTGCAAACAAAAAGAACCTCGCAAATTAAACAAATCTCACAGTATTGATATATCATAGCCAGTCCATCTATACAAGATAAATCCTACAAAATCATGCCCGACCCCGAGGAAAATTGTCAAGACACTTCATTTCATTTAATTCTCGAAAGCTGCCGATAAATAAACAAAATGGCGTAGAATGTCATTGGACAAACTGTTTCCTCGCATCTGTGTTGATGTCTCGCAATCTCGGTGCGCTTCGCGCCAAAGCTCAGAATGAAAACATTAACAACCCCGCTACTCATGAAAACGGAACGCCTCATTCATAGCCGATGCAACGTCCTTTATTGAACCAAGAGAGAGCACCGTTAGGATATACAGTGAGGGAAAAAAAGTATTTGATCCCCCGCTGATTTTGTACGTTTTCCCACTGACAAAGAAATTATCAGTCTATAATTGTAATGGTAGGTTTATTTGAACAGTGAGAGACAGAATAACAACACAAAAAATCCAGAAAAGCACATGTCAAAAATGTTATAAATTGATTTGCATTTTAATGAGGGAAATAAGTATATGACCCCTCTGCAAATCATGACTTAGTACTTGGTGGCAAAACCCTTGTTGGCAATCACAGAGGTCAGACGTTTCTTGTAGTTGGCCACCAGGTTTACACACATCTCAGGAGGGATTTTGTCCCACTCCTCTTTGCAGATCTTCTCCAAGTCATTAAGGTTTCGTGCCTGACGTTTGGCAACTCGAACCTTCAGCTCCATCCTCAGATTTTCTATGGGATTAAGGTCTGGAGACTGGCTACGCCACTCCAGGACCTTAATGTGTTTCTTCTTGAGCCACTCCTTTGTTGCCTTGGCCGTGTGTTTTGGGTCATTGTCATGCTGGAATACCCATCCACGACCCATTTTCAATGCCCCGGCTGAGGGAAGGAGGTTCTCACCAAAGATTTGACAGTACATGGCCCCGTCCATCGGCCCTTTGATGCGGTGAAGTTGTCCTGTCCCCTTAGCAGAAAAAACCCCCAAAGCATAATGTTTCCACCTCCATGTTTGACGATGGGGATGGTGTTCTTGGGGTCATAGGCAGCATTCCTCCTCCTCCAAACACGGCGAGTTGAGTTGATGCCAAAGAGCTCCATTTTGGTCTCATCTGACCACAACACATTCACCCAGTTGTCCTCTGAATCATTCAGATGTTCATTGGCAAACTTCAGACGGGCATGTATATGTGCTTTCTTGAGCAGGGGGACATTGCGGGCGCTGCAGGATTTCAGTCCTTCACGGCGTAGTGTGTTACCAATTGTTTTCTTGGTGACTATGGTCCCAGCTGCCTTGAGATCATTGACAAGATCCTCCCGTGTAGTTCTGGGCTGATTCCTCACCGTTCTCATGATCATTGCAACTCCACGAGGTGAGATCTTGCATGGAGCCCCAGGCCGAGGGAGATTGACAGTTCTTTTGTGTTTCTTCCACTTGCGAATAATCGCACCAACTGTTGTCACCTTCTCACCAAGCTGCTTAGCAATGGTCTTGTAGCCCATTCCAGCCTTGTGTAGGTCTACAATCTTGTCCCTGACAACCTTGGAGAGCTCTTTGGTCTTGGCCATGGTGGAGAGTTTGGAATCTGATTAATTGATTGCTTCTGTGGACAGGTGTCTTTTATACAGGTAACAAGCTGAGATTAGGAGCACTTCCTTTAAGAGTGTGCTCCTAATCTCAGCTCGTTACCTGTATAAAAGACACCAGGGAGCCAGAAATCTTTCTGATTGAGAGGGGTCAAGTACTTTTTTCCCTCGTTAAAATGCAAATCAATTTATAACATTTTTGACATGCGTTTTTCTGGATTTTTGTTGTTGTTATTCTGTCTCTCACTGTTCAAATAAACCTACCATTAAAATTATAGACTGATCATTTCTTTGTCAGTGGGCAAACGTACAAATCAGCAGGGGATCAAATACTTTTTTCCCTCACTGTATAATCATGATTCAGCGTTTATGTTTAGTATTGGGGGCCTGATGTAAAGTGGCCTAACTCTTCAAAATCAAAACACTGATTTATAACATTGGCTGTACAACAAAAAACCTAGGTGATGAGTTAATTATTAGGATGTTTGCAAAAGGGACATTACAACTGCTACAAGGGGAGAGCTTGAACGCAATGTTTGTGTTTGCACCATAGAGGGCTTTACTCTTGTAAGTTGTAAATTGTGCCTTTACACAGTGTAAGCTGCTGTGAGTCGCACGATCTTCAATATCCACTTTGCATCGGACTCCCTCCCTTTAATGCTCCACACAAATGATCAGCACGGGAATCAAACTCTCTCGCTCCTTGCCAAGTGTTGAGCGCCTCACATCATTTAACGATCACTGATTTTGATGTTTAATTCGTGTTTTGTTTTTATTTACATTGATTGTTATGATATGCTTTGTGAGTCTTATCAGAAGAAATTTGCACTTGACTCTCATGGTCATGCAATTCCAGCACTTGGCTCTGTAACTCAGGTCCCGCTTTAAAAAGAGAGACTCGTAGTCTCAATGGGTTATTTCTTACCTATTTGACCAACGCACGTACTCAATGAAAGACTGAATAATCACCAGGGTGTTGGGCCGCTGAAATATTGAACACGTTGTTTATGAGCATTATATTATATCTCCATGGCTGCTGGCACTGAAGGGCTGTTTGTAAAGCAATGTTTCTGTGGAAGCGTGTACTCATACTGTACGTTTAAACGGTAACAAGCCCACTGACAAAGGCCCAAAACCCCAAGTGTAGCATTTTAGAAGTCAGAAGCCTGTGAATTATTAATAAGGAAGTAGAAAAAATGGAATAACTATTCTTTACTAATTAGCGGATTAATTTTTCACAGCGGGTCGAGTTTTCTCTGAGGCATGGGGAGCGCGGCCAGGGCATGGAGGGTGGTGTCACGCTGCCTCCGATCACAGCTGTGACCGCTCACAGCGCCGCCAACTTCTCTCGCAGTTCAAACGAAAATTCCAGCACGGTTCCTGCGTTGTGCTTGACGTAAAATTAGGGAAGACTAAAGAAATGGATGAGGAAGAAAACAGACGCAGCCACAGCAGGCAGAGGTTGACAAAATACGCTCTTTGTAGGGCCTTGATTTAAGTCACACCTAAGTTTTTCTTTAATAATGAAAAGAAAACATCAGCGTCGTCTGTGCTCGTGCGAGCGTGGGGCAGTTCTCTTTTCTGTCGGTGGCCCTGACTCGGTGGTGGAAATACCACATTTCTATAGCGAGGACTATTCCATCCCTAGGACAAAGATGGATTCCCTGGCTGGGTCGGCTGTCTGTCCCTGTTGTTGTTGTTGCTGCTGAGCCCCAGTGGTTGCTCTGTGCCGAGCTGTTCCACACTGTTACGCTCTCTCTCTCTCTCTCATCTTTCCGCGTACTTTCTATCCTAATATAGTTTTAATGTTGTTTGCACAGCATCTTGGGATGCGCTTGCATTCGGGCGCTGTATGGATTTAAAAAGTGGCACTCATTCGACCAAACTTGGAAGAACGACCCCCGCCCAGGAATTAACCTCACGATTTTTGATTAAAGCTTTCGTGACTGCAGGGATTGACATTCTTGGTTCTTTCGGTAAAGTCACCACGTAGAAGGGAAACAATAAAAGAATTGTTTTATATTTTTATTATTTTATTGTTTCCCTTCTACGTGACTTTACCGAAAGAACCAAGAATATGAACCTCACGATTGTTGAGCCGAGTCTTCTGCCAGTATGTGGGCCCGGCTAGATCAGACAAAAGAATGTACAAGTAAACTTGATTTGGCGCTTTCGTGACTGCAGGAATTACTCTTTGTTTTTTTCGGTAAAGTCACGTAGAAATAAGAATAACAATAAAATTACATAAAATTTCATTATTATTACTTATTTCTACGTGACTTTACCGAAAATTACATAAAATTAGAAATAAGAAACAATAATAAAATTACATAAAATTGTATTATTATTTCTTATTTCTACGTGACTTTACCGGAAAAAAACCAAAGAAGAGTAATGTGCATGTAATACAATGCAACAAACAAAAGAGAGAGAGAGAGAGAACAGACCACGGAACAGAAGAATCCACCCACTGAAAGCCCCTGACAACGATGCCCTCCTTAGCCCTTCCCAGCCGCGACCTCTCCTCGCCCGCGCCGCCCCCACCTGGCGGCAGCACGCTGACCTCCACCTCCCGGCTGTACCGCGTGGCCGCCATGTTGGTTGCCTGGCAACGGTATCTCCCAGCGTCCTCGCTGCGTATGGCGCTGATCTGGAGCACCCCGCTGGGCAGCAGCGTGTGCCTGTGAAGGAGGAACGTCTCAAGTGTGAACGAACAATCTCAAAAAGGTTTATTCACGAATGCAGTTGTTTTTTTGTCGTTGTAAAAATGTTAGCTGCAACACGTAAAGCGAGCGATCTTGATTTGAAGCTTTCGTGACTGCAGGAATCCATACTATTTCGTTCTCGCGGTAAAGTCACCACGTAGGTACGTGACTTTACCGAAATAACCAAAGAGAATGGTGAAGCGTTTGAACAAATCTCATGTCACTGTGCAACAAAGATGAAACAAGATAAAGAACAACATTACGGCATCTGGAAAAACCTCACCCACTGGTGTACTTTACGCTGTATCACTCTTCTCTTTTTGGCTGCTTTGACAGCGTGCAGAGTTTGGGCCGCGTGCCTCTCGACCACTGCTAGTGCAGTCCCCTATGTTTTAGCGGTGTTTGGCGTTACTTATCCACATATTATTGCACTTCATGTCATTCACAATACTTGACAGATGACCGACTTGGAAAAACACACACGGGGTTTGTAAAGAAGCGTAACTTGGAATCGCTGACATAAACATTAATCACTGGCACCGTCTTGAAAGTGAAATGGCCAGCGTGCATGCTCTCGCACGCCCCTTGTTTATTTAGCGGCGATGAGGGCAGGCTGCGCGGCGGAGTCAAGAGAGCCGTGCGGAGAGCCGCGCCGAGAGCCGCGCCGAGAGCCACCCAGGGCAGCGGCTCCGCTCCCCGGCCTGGCCGCCCACCCCGGCTGGGCGGTGGACTCTTGGGGCGAGCCCCCCCGCTCAGCCGTGCGTGAGTAGTGGCCGGGAGAGAGCAATCACCTCGGGATTAGGGTCCCCTTACATCAACAAACAACCCTAAACCCGCCTTGTGGCAGGGCAGACCTCAAGGCAGGCTTTTATCCCAAAGCAGCCCCAGAGTGCCTCTCAAATTGCATGGAGGCTACACGGACAGGCGCCGGTTTTTATGAAAATGTGTTGGATGATGGGAACGCGGTCTTTTCTCATTGTTGCCACCAATGAGGGCTTGTTTATTCTTAACTTTTAGCACAATATCAGCCGCCCAGATCGGCAGGTCAGAATGAATCCCCTTAAGGATGCAGGCCTGCTCACAGTCGTTTCACTGCACCGGAGAGTTCGTGAGTGGCTCTCTACACTTAAAGATATCGCTGCGCCCACCACACTCCCCAGTGATTACACCTATTAACACACCCCCCACTCAACAAAAAGGTGTGCAGTTTCAATTGTTTAATTACTCAATGGAACTTCACTCGAGCTGCTCAAAACCACAACAAATCTGCAGCAAGGGTGCTACACAGTGCGCATCAGCACACGCTCCTCGGACACAAAGGAGACATCTGACATCAAAAGCCGCACAAAGAGCTGCTTCAAAGTCACTTTCACAGGTTGTAATCTCAGCTTCAATCAAATCAAAGGGTTCCAGCGTTCCAACAAGCGTTGGACTAATGAGCCAACGGTGGAAACTCCACATTTCCATAGAGGAGATCAGCCTAACCTTTGGAAAACCACTGTCGTATTTCCACAAAGTAGAAGTGTACTGCATCAGTGTTACTGACCACTGATGAATTATTACCCTGAAACAATGACCCCTGAATGGAATTAGAACCCCATCGCCTTCTGACTGCGAGTCAAGTGCTGCGCTGCCCTGACACAGCGGTGTAGATGTACAGGCAATGGCCGGGTGGCCTGGCCATGGTTGGGTAGGTGAGCTCGCTAGCACTGCTGCTGCTGCTGCATAGCCACCTTCTGCAACTTCTGCGGGCACTAGCGTGCACGAGTGCTGTGGAACGCTAAGCCCGGGATTCGTGACGGGGCGCTGCCGCTTCGCTGTACCGTGTGAACCGTCGCCGCGTGTACATTCCACGTGTCGAGAGCGGTCACGCTGCTCAGTCCTTTCCTACTTCGCCGTCCCCACGTCCCACCCAGCCCTCTCGTCCTCACCGCCCAGCAACTCTGACTAGCACCGTGCCCCGACTCCCCTTGCTAAAGCCTGACAGGCCAGAGCAAATTAAAAACAAAGCCCTGAAAGATCGTATGACTCATAGCAAATGCACATAGACTACGTCATTTACACGCTCCTTGCTGTGCTGTGGTAAATTAATTCGCCGGCTAACAGCATAGGTGGCAGACAACGAGCTTTGGTAAACTACAATCCCGGGTTATGTTAAAACACTGAGTTTTAAATTCGGTGGACTCCCTTACGCAGTGACCAGAAGGTACCTTCCGATTTGCAGCAACTCAAAGCACAGCGACCCATATGCATCTCGAAGAAACTGCGGCACCATAATTCACCCATGAAACCCTTTGGATATGTGATCCACTTCTCACACAGTGAAAATAAACATGCCCTGTGGGTGTATTAGAGGCATTTAAGAAACTTGGCCTGCCATGCGTGTTTCCCATCTCATGGATAATTTACATTGCCTCCCTTAGAACTGCATGGCAATCAAACATAGCCAACACATTAAAGCCCCCTCCTGTTTAGTGGTACAAATTCCACATTCATATGCAGTGGCCGACGCCTTCAAAAGGCAACGACGCATGTCGGCTTAACGCCACAATGTGGTACTCATTTTATTGACCCCCATATGGACGATGGGGTGTCAGCCGCCTGATCGGGATTTGAACTGGCAACGTCGCAGAGCCGAATTGCTCTCCAAGCACAGGACACCCACACGGGTTATACACAGAGCCCGTGGACGGCCCAAAACGCCTACTCCTCATTTCATAAATCACATTTATTCTACGCCACAACCAGAGCCTCTCAGCTGCTAATTCATCATACACAGTCTACATCTGCCCAATCTAGAGCCGGCCACACATGAATGTCTAAATGGGGGTGCGTGACCTCACGCCCGCAAACCGTGTTAACCATCCAGCCACGCAAAGCCCAGCAGACTGCTAGAGGCAAACACTCGGGGCATCTCGCTAAATGCTCCACACTCGCGTTCAAAATCAGAGGTGCACTTTAGCAATTGGGTTGCCCCACCTGCGGTGCCCTAACTTTAAATCACCTGGCTCTCCCCCGTCCCGTACATTGCCGACAACGGGGCTGAGCCTTCTGGCGACGAGGCGGATTGAGAGTGCACGGAGGCAGCGGTGGCAGCGTCGTGTTCACTGCCGATTTCAACTGCATCGACGCCGCCGCTCTCGTTTATTATTCATACAATGCATCATGTGTGTATGTGTGTGTGCGCTATAAACACAGCCGTTTACTTATGTTGAAGTTGTACTTTTCACCGCATTGCGCGCTTTCAGATGCGCTTCTCTGGCTCTTCCTTCTGATATTAGGAAGTCACTGAAGCAATGCACTTTCAAATCTAAATTGAAAACTCATTTCTGAAGAACTGCTTTTTGTGTTTTAGTTATTGTCCTTCCCCCACACCTCCAATTAGCACAGTGTGGCGATGTACGGTGCAAGACAGGTTAACATACGTACTTTTATTCATTATATTAATATGAGAATTTTAGTAAGAGGTTGGCGTTTTTTTGGTTATCTATCAAAATCGTGCACACACTCAGCCAGCGTTGAAAGAACCACCAAATGAATGTTTTGATCGGCTTCGTATAACTTCACGGCCATAGTTTTACTATTCCGCCATACAGTACTGCCCAAACGAAAGATAAAATTAAATTAAGGGACCCTCACGGTTAGGAAGCAAGGCCGCTGAATAAAAAATGTTACGGTCGTCATTCATTCCGTCCAAGTACATTTCGCAAAACTCGTCAGATCGCCGGAGCGAACGAGCGGACGAGGCATTTGTCTGCCCCTCTCCGCAGACTCGGCTCGTGTGTCGGGCCTGGTCGAGAAGGCCCCCACATTACGGGCCGTGGTGCGGCATCTTGAGCCGCGCTAGAAGCATTGACCCCGCGGAGAAATGGGGGGGCAGCAGGAGCAGGAGGGAGGGAGGGAGGCAGCGGCCGAAGCCCGGGGGCATCACGTGACGCACGTTCCTCGGCAGGCCGCACCGGCCACGCCAACGCACTTCCCCTCGCTTTGGATTTACCGACGCCAACACGCCGGCTGCCACGTGCATTTTTCAACAAATCATTAAGCAAATCGATACAGTTACGAGCGTTATTCTCTCGCGTTGGCCTGCAGCCACGCGTTTTTTTAACCGCTGGCCAATCCGTGAACCCAAATGGATGATTTCTTCAGCTCGATGCGTGCTCAAACACGCATTGCCTTCAGAGTGATGCATTTTGGGAGTTTTGTGCACACCACGAAGGCGCAGCGGCAATAAAGAAGCTCGTTCAACATCCACCTCAAGCAGGGAGCTCCGCATAAAAGATTTAGCTTGAACTTGTTCGGCACCGGCGTTTTATTGTGAGCCTTCAACCTGCCTTCGGTTTTATTTCTCGCAATTTCACGTTGGAGTCAGAATTCAGAACTATCTTCCATGAATGCTGGAGAATGAGAATATAATTGGAAAAGTGTAGCCTGCATATAAATAATATGACAAAGTTGTGCTGTGTAGATCTCCGAAGAGTTCTTGGGAGTACCGCGCATTGTTTGGCACGATGCCCAACGTTTCATGGAAGCTTCTTCAGGAAGTGAAATTCTAACAGGAACTAAAAGTTGTGTGTGTGGTGTGTGTGTTGAGGGCTGCGCGTGTTGGCTGGACCGTGCAAGTATGAGTGAGAGGCGTGCGTGTGTAAGAGCTCGTGTTGAGCTGTGCCGCGTACGTCAGGTGTGTGTGCTTGTGTAAGGGCTGTGTCACGCGTGTGGGGTGTGCGTGCGTGAGGCTGTGTGCTGGCCTGTACCGTGGGCTGTCAGCCGGGAGCGCCGTGCCATCTCGCTCCCACGCGATGAGCGGCTCGGGGCGGCCGCTCACGCGACACTCGAGCCGAGCCACCTCGCCCACCCGCACCTCCTCGCTCACCGCCTCCACCTCCACCTCCGACAGGCCTGCAACGGAGACACGGCGCACGCCGATCACACCCGGCACTCGATGTGCGACCAAAGAGCGCAAGAATGCATTCAGCGAACTCCTCTATGTGCGCGCGCGTGTGTGCATCGTAAGCCTTACTTGCGGTCGTACAGACCTACAAACAAGACAAACATCCCCCATATAGCCTTCAACCGACTCTTCGGGCAAGTGCTGTTAGCGAGCACCTATGAAGGCCGGCACGACACACGAGGGGGTGCGTGGCCAGCGCCACGCCCGACCGCCTTTGTCTGCCAAGTGGCGATGTTACCACACCGCAGCATCTACTCATGAGGCACGGAGTGGGGAAATGTTCCAGCGTGCAGGGCATGGGCAGCTCCCCGTGGGGTCACCAACCCCAAGTGGACCGCGAGCGCGCAAGGGAGAGTAGCAACGCGAGGAGTTACACGGCCGCTGGCGTGACAAGGAGGGAAAGACGCCGAGCAGCTATGACCTCACTCAGTGTCAAAGTGCCCTCAGAAACAGCTGCCGACGTCTCTCCCATTTCATAAACAACGCTCTCGTGAGCTGTATCAAATGTGTTTCATTCGCCTGCCCGTTAGTGGACAATAACAAGTCAGAAATATGAGCAGCGTTCAAAAATGGAAAGGTTCACGTGGGTGAAAAACACGATGACTGAACTCACACCATTGGTAAAGTTGGTTCTGTTTTCACCTCTGAAGGGATTACTTTAGGAAAGAAAACAACAACTGCACGTCAGATTTTTTTCCAATACGCATGTGCGTGTGAGCTAGGACTCTCTTGGCAGGAGGTGGAGAGCATTGCGAGAGATTGTGCCTGAAACGGATCCCTCTTCTTTTTTACCTCTCTTTCAGACAATTGATTCCAAACGGCCTCTTTGTGACATGCTGCGTATTTTGACACAACCATGTTTAAATAATCCTTTGAACGTACAATAACCCACAGAGGCTTTTTCCCAGTTTGAGGCAGCTATATATGTGCATAATCCATAAACGGTGCGCAGATTAAACACGTCATAAAAATGGGATCTTGTCGTACTTGCGTGGCATGTAGGAGGCTCCTATAAACATTTATAAAGTGGTCCCCTTTATTGGCCATGAAAATGACTGTGTAAATTTGGGCCAGTCACGCCGCAACGGCAAAACATGCGGTGCCGCCGCTTTGTCTCCCCCGGCTCACACCCCTGTCCGTAAAATAAACCACGGCGCCCGGCGAGTTAACAAGGCTCGGATCCCTGACGGGCAAGGCCTCCACGCAGCCTGCACTGCATTAGCGGCACTGCTTTTCAGGCCGGGCTGACGAGCAGCGAGGACGATGATGGCCGTGTGTGTGATTGATGACGGGCGATTGATGGCACTGTATCGATGGCCAATGACTGATGACCGCAGAACGATGATTGATAATCGGTGCGTCTTGTTTTAATTCCAATATCTTGGATAATTGACCTATGGCAATAATGAACATTGCCTTTGCTGGTAAATGAGATGCTGCTGCCACTAAAGAAGTTAAACTACAAACGGCTTTCCAGCGGAGTGCCGTGGAAATAGGGAAAGTGTCCTCCATTCGAAAAAAATCGGCTGCGACGCAGACTATCAGATAAATGCAGCTCAGCTCGGGCTGCCTGGTTTGCGGACGTTACGGCTAATTGCCTTCCTGCAAATCGTAATTTTACACAATCAGGCTAATGTTTCGGCGGCCCTAACACTAATGACGAGAAACGGCATATCGGCTCAGGATGGCTCATTGCCCACGGGCGTGCTCGTTTATTCGCTCTGCCCCGATTTTAATCGGATCTGGCTTTCCACGGGCATGCATTCCCTTTTCAGACACATCTGCTGGGGCGGCTAGCATTCCGCGGAATCACACGGGGGGACCCCCCCTTGCCGCCACAGCCCCGGAGGTCCTCCCTCCCAGGGACTCCTCCACCAACACAGAGGGCAGCCTTTATATTTTTTTTTCAGAAAGCAGCACTAACCACGCTCAATCCTCAAGCACAAAAAACGACATGCTTTATTTACCTCCGAAAGCCTCAGCCTCCCCAATCTGGACTTTAAGTGGTTTGAAATAAAAGTGATCGGCTGACGAACGAGCTACAAACACTGATTTAAAGCGTTACTTCAAAATAAGGGGGCCGGCCATATCGAGTGTCGGTGATCGCAAAGGCCGATTGCTGCAAACCGTAAGTGCTCGAGCCCATTTGTGTCGTGCTCAGGAAATAACCGTGCGCACTTTTATTGTGATTCGTAGGCCGGCCACGGCAACGCTCTCACGAAATAAACGCTCGCAACGAAGAGGGCCGGTGCGAACGACGGCACCGAGACGCGGCGCGGGGGAAACCGCTCGGCCATCAAAGTCGGCGGCGGGCGGCGTGAGCGAGACGCGACGAGGAGCGACGAGAGGAGCCGTTTTGAGCCGTCGTCGTAACGTTTTCCCATAATTCCATAACGGACGGCTCAGGGAGAAAACGCGACGTGGATAGAGCCGCCGACATGCGGCGCATATTTTAAATATGAACGGGCGGTAGCTCGAGGAGGTGGACCGCAGGCGCGGGCGGGCGGCGTGGATTAGGCTCCGTCGCGGCGATTAGAGGCAGGAAGGATTAGCGGGGAGAAGGCGCGCACGGGGCCGACTAGGAGCGCGTCTCACATCCCTCACGCGGCTCCACGGGAGCAGAGGTTAACGTGATCCGATTTTCTTGCAGTTTTGGTTCCGACCCAACCTCCGCGATACTGCATCAGCAATCCCACCTCGCTCCGCTGCCCCCCCCCACTACCCGATCGCCACCGCCACCGCGCGGCCTCCGACCTTCCGGGGCCCACCGGAGCGACCGCCTCGCTTATCTGCGTGCCGTCCGCCCCTCGCTGTCGGCGCCGCGCGTGGCGGTGGCTCTTCCACCGCCTGCAGCTTCGGAGCCCCGCGCCAGCCACGGTGCATATTGTGAGGCCTAATTACTCCGCGACTGCACTCGCGACATTCTACCTGGTGGCACCGTGGTTACGGTGTGCCAGGACGACAAGCAGATATCCTGAGAATGACCGTCACCCACGGAGCTTCCCACAAGGTGACCACTCCAACTAAAATCATTCTCACATGATCGCAGAAACTGATTTTCTGCTATATTTGGTGAACAAAAATGCCAAATAATTGGGAAAAGTATAGGGGTTTTTTTCCTACCAAATATCAAAATAAATTAGTATTTGTAACAAAACATGAGGAGTCTTAGCAAACGTGTTTATTCAATTTGACTTTTGCATCAATAACAAAAAAAATCACACGAAACAGAGAAATGTTTTTTTCCCTCCTAAACCAGGGAAAATACTTTTGCTGAGGTTGAATGAGGTTCTGGCAGCCCAAGCAGCAGGCAGGGATCATCATTGCACTGTGGGCCCATTGGCAGATGCCATAAAACTTCAACAATGAAACAGCGGTTGAGAACTCTGGCCCATCTTGGACAGCATAGGGGAGGCAGCTGCAAATCGGCCTCGTAGCAGCAGCAGGGTCTTTGACGACCATGGCTCCGTCCACTCTCGCTCAATGGTAGGGAATGGAGCACAGGCCTCACACAATAAGCTGCTCAATAACGGCCTCCACCAATGCGGCACAAAGCGTCGCTGGGGACCGGGGGAGAGGAGAAAAGAGATCGGTTACAATGGCCCGGCTTCTACGCGGCTTATCCCATGACCGAGATCCATGGATTGTAATTCAATGCAAGGCAACATAAACACGGACCTTGAGACTTGTGATATTAATAATAATGTATTTTGTTTATTTGGGAAAGCTTCGCTGATTCTGAAGATTTGTTTCCATGATGGCCCCCCACACTGGTGATCTCTGTACAATACCCGTGTCGAGTAATTGTTGCATGTGCAAGGAAACTTGAGCACCGAGGGGAAAAAAATACGACGGGATGATGCCCCAAATATCCACACAAATGGGGTCAGGAACCATCTTGCTCTACTGCCATCCACTGCAAGACCCTCATGAAAGAGGTCTCTAAGAGACTTTCCTGAAAAAATAGAGCGCATTATTTCAAGTTATTATTTTTATTATTACTACTACTACTACTACATAAATCAGCATTTGCCAACAAAAATTGCAAAATGTACGCATTGTGCTGCAGAATCCTTTTCTAGGTACAGAAAATGTGTTTTGATGGCTTTCCTCATCACTTACAGAAGCGCTGCATTTGAAGGAGCCTTTTCTATCAGCAGCCGACCCGATGCTTTGATTAAAAACCAAAACATGCTGCCCAGTGACGCCACAAAAAGGCAAACTTGTTTTGATTCACAAAAAGCAGCCAGAGACCCGATTACCTGGTCTCCGGGAAGAGGTTTGGAGCCACTGATGTTGCAAAAAAATGGCTCCGTGTTCCAGGCTTAAGGCGGCCGCAGGGATGAGCGGCGTTTGCGAGCGGCAAACGTGGCCAAGCGAGAGTTTCTTCACCCCATTAGGCGACGGCTCTCCTCGGCCGCCGGCAGCCTGCGCCCACAACCCACGGGGTCGCCCGCGCGGTTTTTTTGAGAAATCCCTTTTTAACCTCGCGAATCCCGGAGGGTCTCACACACCCGCGGCGCCTGCTCTTGTATCTGCTGGCCAGATCTGCACGGGGAGGGGATTACACGACTCCTCATTGTTTGCTGGGCCAAGAGGGGCCAGCACTTAGTGCTGCTGAATGTTCACTTCGTGCGCGCGCCCAAACGCGCGAGTTAATTTGGGGAGTGCAAAAAACAACCCAAACGGAAACTGTGAGTGCGGTTAAAAGTTTTGCTTTCTTAGTTTCGTTATCGCAGGTCCGCGGGTGGCTCCGTTGTGACACCGGCACGCTAACGACCGTAATGTGACCGCCAGCCTGAAGCTCAGCCACAGTTGATTCAGCTTCGCTTCCCTCCAGGATGTGTGAAGTGTTTACCACCCCCCGTGGAGGGAAATCGATTCATCACGCGGCACAGTTCAAGCTCCTCATCCTCACGACTCGTCTTATCTGCGGGATCCAGGCGAT